TTCGCCGCGTCGAGTCTGCTGCACCAGACGAACAGGAAAGTATTTTCTCGGATGTGTGATGCAACGATGATTCCTCTTATAAATTTTCATTCACCCCGAATTGGATCTCCCCTGAGTCCTCACAATTAGCTCTGCTCTTGCTTTTTGTACCGTCGATTTGCTGGTCTGTTCGCCCAAAACTTGCTGGTCTGCTTCTGATGCTCTGATGTCCGTTGTGACGTCACTCGTGCCGCCATTCTGTTCAATTGCTACCGCAATCGGTTTGTCACGCTGTACCTGTACAGTACATTGAATCACTACTACGTACCGAGTAGAAAAGCTTTATTGATGCAATCAACACTATGCACAATGTCACCACACTCCAGCATCAGCAGCCTCTCCTCTACCATCAGACACCTCACCTGGCCCCACCCATTTCATTCGTACAACACGGGGGAGTGGGCGTCGTGGGTGCATTTCCGCGTGCGGACATCAGCGCCGACAGCTTGCGGTTGCAGAGCTGAACCGCGGCGGCCGGTCGTCGTCTTGGGGCGTCGCGGAAACCCTGCCTGGGAGCCCCAGCTGCCGCTGCAGCTCCGTGGAACTCCTCGCCTCGTCGGACCACGTGGTCGTAGCAGATGTACCGGCCCCGGTCAGCGCCGCTCATCTCCTCGTACACGCGGACGTGCGCTCCGCCACCCTCTCCACGTTCGCCGTCGCCAGCAGGCCTTCAGCAGCATGGCGTGCGCTCCTGCGAACGTACAAGATACCCAGATGTGGTGAGCTCGAATTTTCTATGGTCATCAAGATGCTATTGATCGATCTGGCCAGTCAAGATAGTTGTAGAGAGTAGGAGACCTTTGAGGTGGAAGGCAATGGATGGGAGTAGGGTTCCGCCTCAGGAATCCCGGCCCGGTTACAAGTGCAGGGCATATGGTCACTAGCTTCAGGTCTGTTCCCCGTGCTGCCCTCCATGCCGCCTTTTCCGCCATCGTCTTGCCAAGTGACAGCCACAGCTGCAAATGTTTAGGCTCAACATTAAAATTCTGCTATCGTTGACGTGTTCCACAAAAATGACAGAGACTGATTCTTCACATTGTAGGCTGTAGCCATAAAAATTTAGCGCTGTTTAATACAGTCGTGGTTTTGCTATATGTTATTGTCACTCACCTTGTTGTCGCGGCAGAAGCTCTCATCGCTCAACAATTCTCATCAATGGTGGTTGGGAACCGGCGGTCATAAAGCGAAGTTTTGCCTCCACACACATGCCAAGAGCGACGAGGTGAGAACGCACTTCCTCACGGACTCTGTTCTCACATTGCTTCGACCACAAGCTCTGCTGCTTTGGCTTCCAGGCGTGCCATGTGTTTCTGCCGACATTGAAATTCACAAGTAAGGCACTTATTTTTACATCAGAGTTAATTACTTATGGCTCTTGAAGATAGAACAATATACAAAGTATGTGAAACCTGTATAATGTTAATTGTTAAAATATCAGATATCTGATTGCAGAATTGAGAACTGTAAATATTAACAGTAAATTATGCTACCAGGTACAGGTATATGATCAGCACCAATAATAAAAGTCCAAAAATGGAGCATTTTAGACACACCAAAACGTAGCAGGCATAGCATAATAGTGATCCAAAGGTTACTTGGGGTTGTAAAAAAAAAGTTACATTGGGGTTACTCAAAAGTTGCCAAGTTTAGTTTAGTTGGCATTATATTTTTTTTTCTGAGGCTTGGAGAATTATAAAGACAGATTCTGTGCAATCCGTTGATATTTTTTAATACTCTACACACACATTTTTCCTCTTAATGGAACTCTTTTTTAATACAAATTTTTTTGGCTATTTTTTTTTTAGAATATAGCACACACCCTGTGTCTCAGGAGTGGATATTATTCTTAGGTATTCTTAATGTAAAGTTTTCCATTACTATCTCTTAGCACTTGAATTACAAGACACAGCCTCATGCTATCTATAGAAGTAATGTTTTTATTGTTCCAGTTGAAAATGATGGTGCTGGTTGGCATATTAATGTCCTATGGGTCCATGTTCACAAAATGTGATTGAGACCGCCCAACTAGCAATCATGGCTTCAACACTTGCTCAGTGCCTCCTGATCATGGGGATAATCATTTTTGTATATGCTAATGCCCTAGTAGCAAGTTCGTGTGTGTAGAAAGATCAACATCAACGGGCTTACGGTAATGTAAATCTAAATGCAAATGCATATCTTTATTTCATGATCATACAAACAATTTAAGAGGCATATTTAAAATTGCACCTACAAAAGTAAAATAGATTTGGTAGGGAATGACAAAAGGACAAATAAAAGTGGATCACCTAACTATTGGGTTTGATATTGAGCCATTGTTGACTTAAAAGCTGTTCAGAGAGAGCACTGTTAACTACTACAACTGAAAAAGGGAGGCATGCCCAGATGTTCATACTGTTTGTCAACTGGAAGAACTTTCTATGCAACCAAAAGACGAATTAGATGCCTTTCATGTTTATGTTCAAATGATAAGAAGATCACCACCTTTATATATAGCCACAAGAGGTTACATATTTATACAGGCAAAGACAACTTGTAAACTTTGTCTTCAGCTGGTTCAGCCGATCCTTTGGAATCACATGGTATGGTATGCCAAAAGATGTTTTGGGACATGATTCCAATCCAGCTTAAATAAATATATAGAGAGATGTGACGTGCAGAAAGAAAGAGTTGATTCCATATCTATGACGAGGCTAATAAAGTAAGGCAAGGGCGCAAGGCAATGGCAACATCAGACGTGGTCTCATGAAGTCTCCACGATACCAAACTGAGTGGATGTGTGATAGTTCCATTTTGGAACACTTGCACAAGAAACATAACAACAAACTCGCAACCATTTAATGGTTAGACTGGAACACCTATAATCAATTCATTTCCAGCATCCAGGTGTATTTGCAGTTGCTAACATTCACCTACCACCACTGTCTTCCTTGAGCTAAACAGGACAACATCAGGCTGGTTATCAGTTAGCACCTCTGAAGGTCAAAATACTCCAGATACACAAAGCCTTGTGCAAATCAAACTGCGGTAGCCTCAGGAAGTTTTAAATCAATGGTTGATGGTAGGATTCACCATCAGAGGGGAACACCTTGCCAACCAAAAGGTCAGTGTTCCTATATCTAGAAAATTCGAACTCTCCTGCTCTCAAACCGAAAACAAGGAAGCGCTTCTAGTAACATACTCCACAGATTACGCATGGCCTCAGTTGAGCCATTTCACAGGATCATTCTAAGGTGTGAGTGCCATCCTTAGTTTGTATTCCACACCGTAAACCTTACTGGAGATAGTGAGTGGGTTATTTAAACAGATCAGAACCTATTTTTCCTGGTCCTCAAAATTTTAGCATGGTTGTTCCATTCCAATCACAAAATGCAATTTACATAGTGATGTAAACTATTAGATCTAAATTTTAAATCTCACTTTCATGATCCAACTGATTTTTATCCATGACATGACATAAGCCTTTTGTCTTCCTCTTAGCATTTTAAGACTTTTAATATTAGTGCCTACAATTCTCTTATTAATTTTGTCTATCAAGTTGGCACCTACATATTCCATAATGTGCATCTCTACTCTTCCTCGAAAAGAATAAGATTAAAGACTTCTGCTTCACAGCACATTGAGAAGCAGGATTATAAAAGTATATAAGACAAAACTAGATTTTGTTTCACAGACAAACAAAATAAGAGAAAATTATCATCAGGCCTACCTTTGTATGTATGACTTTTGTGGCAGAATATTCTGCTCAGAGAATTAGATGCTGAGTAAATATAGGATGAAACCAATACAGGTTGAGTAGCTCACCGTGTAACCTGGAGATGCCCCTGGATCCACAAGTGACGAGGTGTGAAAGACACCAACACAGCCGTCAAAAGCTTCATGTAAGCTCTCCGGGTCCATCACATTTGCGATCACAGTCCAGACCCCGTCCCTGCCATTCTCCCCAAACATCTCCATCTCCCAGCTTGTCAAGGTCCTCTGCGATAGCAAAGAAAAAAAAACACATAAATAGCTACTTTGATTTGACAGAAAGTTTAGTAAGACCAATTTTGCAATAGGAATGTTCCAGTTCATGACAATGACAACATGCACTTTGAGCAATGGTAACATATTAGGTTTCACGAGAACTTACTTTCCTAGTAATAACAGAGAAGCCTTGGAAACCACAAATGGAAATTTCAGTTGTTAATTTCTGTTTAAGAGGCCCAATTTGAAACTTACAATGAGTCATTATCTGATTGAGCATTATATGGAGTGAATGAAGTTTTTTTTCTCATGTCACATTGTTGCTGACTAAGATTTTGGATAAGAACACATGTAGGCTATGGTTACAACTCTCCTATTCCAAAAAAGTTGAAAACTGTCCCTACACACCTCAAAGTAATCAAGTTGGAAATATTATGTTCCCATAGGGAAACAGTTGATGATCAATTTTGTTTTTCCAATTAGTATACCCCAAACAAATATTATGAAATACCATCATTAGAAATCATTTTTTCACGAAACATGTAAAATTATCAACAATTTATCTCTGCCTAAGATGACGTTAACTGGTGCAATTTTGTCTTTTTTTAACATAGAAAGTGTGCTGATGCATATTTTATTGGAAGAAAAGATACCAGAAAATACAGAAAAGAGGATATCATGTCACACTAAATGAATTCAATTTTACAGAGAGAAAAGCCAAAAAAAAATCACCAACCCTGTAACGAGAACAGCATGTCATGCAAAATCTTGTACACGTATACAACAGAACAACATCATCTCTGGAAAAACGTTTCTTCTTTCAAAAATGTCTCTGTGTCTAACATCTTCCATGGTTTTCATCAACCATTCAACCCTAATTGGCAAGATTTCAAAAATAACAAGGTGCTAAGGAACAAGAAATGATGCATCAGCTAGTATCAAATTATTAATTGCCTTAATGGTCCTTTCGGTTAGGTGGTAAGATGAGGATAACTTACCAGTGTACTATTAATGAAGAAGATAACCTTATCAGATATGCAACTCTTATGCTCCTCAGTGGGGTCCAAGAGAAAAAGGCCCATTTGGAATGCGGGAATTTTTTTTTCATGTTTCTGCTTTTTCTTGTGAAATTACTAAGTTTCAAACCGGCCCTAAAGAAATATGGCATGACCGGGAAAGGAGTGAACTGGTGGGAGAGAGAAATGGGACATCTCTTTTGCATGACTTTGGCCTCTTGCCATCTAAAGAGAGTGACATGTTCAATTTGATCATAAGGGCTACGCAAATTTCCTCTAGTCCAAGAAAACTTCATTGGTGAAATATCAAGTTATCAAATAGACTAAAAGTGACGTGCCCATACTGCATGGACCAAGTAACCAACTATGATGTACTCCCTCCATCCTTAAATGTTTGTCGCCATGATTTGCATGCTGATAACTTTGAATCGATTTATAGAAAATACGTGCAACATTTCTATCTCCAAATAAATTTATTAAAAAAACTAGATTCAAATATCTATCCAATGATACTAATTATGTATTATAAATATTAATATTTTTTAATACATATTTAACCAAAGTTATTTCTTGGAAAACGAAAATGACAGATATTTAGAAACGGAGAGAGTAATGCTCAACTAAAACTACATAATGGTGGCAGTACGTAGGGGTCAGCATTGGGGCACTGGCGACCTCATTGGGACAAAAAATTAATGACCTGGAATAACTTGTGCCAACAAAACATTGTTGCGTACTCCACAAAACGTAGAGCCATTAAGGCTTGTTTAATTTCCAACCAAATTCTCAAAAAGTGTTACAGTAGCCATCACATCGAATCTTGCGATACGTGCATAGAGCATTAAATGTAGACGAAAAAAAACTAATTACACAGTTTGGTTAAAAATTGCGAGACGAACATTTTGAGCCTAATTAGTTCATGATTAAACACTAATTGCCAAATAAAAACAAAAATATTACGATAGCAAAATTCCCAAAATTCACAAACTAAACAAGACCTGACCATCATTCGTACAAACTGCAGACCCTCCAAACTCTATGCCAGGTAGGGATTAATGGCAATAAATGGCCGAAAGGTTTGTCTGGAATTTTCTTTCCAACAAACCGTGGATAATTTTTCACCAACCCACTACCAGGCAAGGCACCATGCATGCACCGAACCATACGGATAGAAAACAAGAGATGAACAAAAGGACAACGCCACGACGGTCGCCCAGCTACAAGCAAGCAGTACAAGCAGGAGACCGGAAGTCAGCGGGAACGTTCAGTAAGATGGGCTCGTTTAAATCCAGTAGGTAAAGTTTTGGGTATCATACGAGACGTGACCTATGAAGTATTTAGATACTAATAAAAAAATAAAAAAAATAAATTACAGAATCCATCAGTAATACGCGATACGAATTTATTAAGCCTAATTAATCCGTCATTAGCACATGCGTTAATGTAGCACCACGTTGTCAAACCATGTACTAATTAAACTTAAAAGATTTGTCTCGCAAATTAGTCATAAACTATGCAATTAGTTATTTTTAGTCCATATTTAATACTCTATGCATGTATTAAACATTCGATAAGATAGAGGCGCCGTTCACTGGTCTGGAAGTTCTAGATCAGCCGGCTGGTTCCCTCACATTTTATTGTTCATCAAAGCAGCCGAACAGTGTTTCTCTCTCACACAACTAGCTAGTTTTAATGTTTTAGACCAACAAACGGGGTTAGAGAGTAAACTTTAGGGGAGCAACTAAACAAGGCATAAATTAATGGACTAGTAACCTTTACTCTCGAACCTATTTTTTCTTACCGCGTTTTTGAACTCCCAACAAAACGTGCACGTTAGGAAACTCAACTTGAAATTGCTCAACATCACGTGCCCGAGAAGGGAGTCGCCGTGAAATTTTGACCACTTTGAATTAAATCAAATCAAAAGAGTTGAACAGCAGCATCGCAGGCAGGAAGAGAGGGACCAAGCAGCGGTTCGCATTTCCAATCATCAGCGAAAACAACCTTCACAATTCAGAAACAGGGTGCGGCAACCGCAACCAACCCCGGAGACGTCCCACCGCCAAATGAAATGAGAGGAGCCGAGAAACGCATCCGATTCTCACTGCCGAAGCAGGCCCCAATCCGTGGAGGGGGTTAAGGCGAGACTAACTGACCTTGCGTCTCGATGGCGAGGCGGACGTTGTAGCCGTGGCGGAGCAGGCGGTCGACGACGGCGAAGCCGAGGAAGGACGTGCCCCCCGTGACGCACACGGTGCGCGCCTCCACGCCGGCGGCCTCCGCGGCGCGGGCCGCGCGCTTGGCCGCGCCGCCCCCGCCGGGCCTCCACGCCCACGCGCCGTGGAGCAGCAGCGCGGCGCGCATCTCCTCCACCTCGGCCTCCAGGCTCTGCGTGCTCCGCAGCACCCCCATGCCGCCGTCCCCTCTGCGCCTCCGCCTCCGCCGACACCGACACCGACGCTGCCGACGCTAACGCCTCCTCCTAGCACTGCCTGGCCGCTGGCCTTATTGCCTTTTTGCCTTGGCGTCCCCGCGTCGGCGTGCCGTGGAGTGAATTCCTGGACGGATTAGTGCAGTGGTGGACTGGTGGGTTTGGGAGAAGCGTGCTCTGCTCTGCTCTCTGGGGCGGCCTCGGGATTGTGTGATCGGTGGGTCGAGGGTCGTGTGGGCCGCGCTCGGCTCGTGGCTGGCTTGGAACGCAAGGAATATGAACGAGGGCGAGACTGCTCGGGTCGGCTTGGACTTTTATAATTTGTTTGTGTGTTTGAATAGTACAAAATAGCGACTATATTCGTTTGATCGTATCAGTTATGCTTATCAGTTATGATACAATGTTTTTCTCTCACAACAAAACAGCATCAACCAACTTATAAGCCACAGAAACAATCAAGCGAACAGGATGATATATAACCTAGACTGTTTAGATCAGCTGGAGCTTTTTTTAAGCATCTAATGACTCAGTTTAGTCCATGCAAATAGATCCTTAGGAAAATCAAAGAATAATTCGTGTCAAGTCTACTACTTGAGCCTAACAAAACATGTTATTGGGTAAGGAATTGAATCTAACGGATTGAGCAATTGTTTACGGGGAGGCGAGGTTAATAGCCTGTTCGGTTGGCTGGTTCGTATCGTTGCTGGTTCGTTTATGTGGGAAAGAAGTACTGCTGGCTGGTTCAAGTGAACAGTGTCCATGTGAGGGGGCTGGTCAGCCCAGCTAACCCTAGCCGAACACGCTATAAGACTTTGGTTTAGGGTTGAAAGCAACCCTAGGTTAGATATGGAATTGGTTTAAAAGGTGGGTCTCGGATAGAGGCACTGTTCGTTTTGTTGAAAAGTCATGGCTGAAAGTACTGTTCGTTGATTTGTTGTAAGAGAAAATATTGTTCGTTCACTGAAATAGTACAACTCATAAGACAAACGAACAGGGCCAGAGTTGGCATGATGTTGGTGACTTGGATAACGACAAGGCGAGATGCTAATGACGACCACTACACCAGCAAGTATTTGTAGGGCGGCTCATGTGCATTTGTAGCTGTAGTTCTGCAAGCCGCCCCTAAGCAACCGCAGCTACAAATGCCCAGTTTATGGGGGCGGCTGATTTCCAAAAATCATGAAAAAATTGCCAAAAATAGTAATTTTTTTAATCCGGGAAGGACCCACTAGTCAGCCACAAAACCATACCGTAGCCGCAGCATTTTTTGCGCAATGTTTGGAGACTTCGCATCGGCTAGGATTCGATCTTGCGACCTCGGCCTCGCGCGCTCCCTCCTTTAACCACTGCACCACACTATCACTTATGTCTATATTGCCTTTTCTTTCCACACATATTATCCTAAACCGAGTATAAATTAATTATTTGAGGCCCTAAATGAATTTAAATGAAAAAGTTATCAACTACAAAGTTTCGTAACTTTTCGAGATCTAAAACTTTTATTTTGGTTGTTTCTCCAATCGAGGTCGTTTATAAAATTTGAATTTTAAATTTGATAAATTCAAACATAATTGTCAACTACAAAGTTTCATAACTTTTCGAGATCTACAACTTTCGTTTTTGCTGTTTGTCCATCTGAGATCGTTTAAAAAATTGAAATTTTAAATTTTTAAAAATTCAAACGTAGTTTTCCTTGACAAGATGATTTCAAATTAAAAAGTTGTATAACTTTTTGAAATCTACAACTTTCATTTTGGTTGTTTCTCCATTTAAGGTCGTTTGAAAAATTTGAAGTTAGTATGATGAAGAAATACTAGTTATAAGTTTTAGCTAGAGATTAAAAAGAGAAATAAGTGTTCTTCGACAGTTTCAAAATTAAATTTCAAACAGCATTTTAAAACAGTAAATGGTTTCAAATGAAATAGTTGTAGATAGCAAAGTTTCTTAACTTTTCGAGATCTACAACTTTTAGTTTGGTCATTTCTCCATCCGATGTCGTTTGAAAAAATTCAAATTTTAGTACTTAATTTTTAATATTCGACGTTTATTTATATAAGCGGCTCAATATTGAGCCGCCCGTAGACGTTTGTATATAGAGCCGTCCCTACAAATAGTTATTTGTAGAGGCGGCTGATAACACCAGCCGTCCCTACAAATAATTTATAAAAACGGCTCATTTAAGCACTATTTATAAGGGCGGCTCAATCTAGAGCCGCTCTAAATAAACGGTGGTGCTACAAATTCTTTTTTAGCGGTGAACGCTGCAGACCGGATAGTTTTATAGCCACAATGGGTGGAGCCGGCGGTGCGAAACGAACAACTATAGGGCCCTTGTTTAGATACCCTTAAAATTCCAAGTTTTTTCACTTTCTCTTCATCACATCAATTTTTAGCCGTTTGTATAGAGCATTAAATGTAGATAAAAAAAATAAATAATTGCACAGTTTAGTTGGAAATCACGAGATGAATCTTTTAAGCTTAGTTGGTCCACGATTGGACAATATTTACCAAATAAAACGAAAGTGCTACTATTCATCAAGTTAAATTTTTTTTCAATCTAAACAAGGCAGGTTAATGTGGGAACGAAGGTACAAAGAGGTTAGGCAAGAGGTGGACGTCATGTCTCTGATGGCAGTACGGACCTAAAGTTTTTTTGTTGAGCCGGGGCAATTTAGGGCCTTTAGTTTCATCCAAAACCCAAAAAATCTTGCGCAGTATCCATCATATCGAATGTTGCGGCATATGTATGGAGTACTAAATATAGACGAAAAAAACTAATTACACAGTTGGGTGAGAAATCACGAGACAAAACTTTCGAACCTAATTAGTCCATAATTAGACACTAATTGCCAAATACAAACGAAAGTGCTACAGTACCCAAAACCAAAAATTTTTTCCGACTAAACAGGCCCTCAGTGGAATAAGAAGTATACCTAATCTCCTTTATACATAGACTGCACATTAATTAAATTCAGTGAAGTCCAACTACAATGAGCCCGGGCGAAGGCCCAGGGTCGTCAGGCCCTGGTTCGCCAGTGTCTAATGGCGTGATGAGGTGGTTGTGTAGAGGAGGTAACTGGGGATGCATTAGAACACTATTGTCTTAGTCGGAAGGATGTAGATAAAAGATAATAATAAGAAAAAGTAGGAAGTAGAGGAACGGACAATGATTCTTTTAGGATTATGCACCCACCAGCAAGTTATCCTAGATGGGTAAGTATATTGCTATACGAGTCAACGATCTTATAAGTTATCTCATTCAGTGTCATGTAGAATTTGTGATGGTGTGGAGAAATAAAAAGGAGAGAGGTGGGAGAAAGAAGTTGTCGTTCCATAAAACAACTATATGTCTCATAAGCTAAAATTCAAAGCTATAAGGCCACTATTGCACTATTGTACGAGTTTGTTATCATACAACTCACAACACTTCTTTTTTTATTCTATTTACACAAAATAAGGAATTATGGATTGAGACAGCTAAAGCAACCATTGCATAAGTTACCTATTAATAAGTCTGTCTTAAGATCACGTGCGGCAAGATATGAGACCGTCTATTAGACAATAATGTACCAATATTTGTTGCATATAATCTAGAAAGTTTCATGTATGACACTATTACACAAAAAATTTTGTGCAGCGTTTACCAAATGGGCTCCAAGGCGGTTGTCCTGGTTGCCCGCCTCGGTTATTCGAGGCAGGGCAGCCGGGCCAGCAACCGCCTCGGTTAATGCTTAACCGAGGCGGGCAACATAACCCAACCGTCTCGGTTAATATATATTAATCGAGGCGGGCAACATAACCCAACCTCCTCGGTTAATATATATTAACCGAGGCGGGCATCCTAAGGCAACCGCCTCGATAAATCATTAATCGAGGTGGGCATTATAACTCAACCGCCTCGGTAAATCAGGCCTAGCCCGCTAGCCCACACCAGCCCACTACCATCTCCAATATATAAATGTAGGGTTAGGGTTTCAGTCACAACGGGTGCTCTTCCCACTCCCGCGGCACAGCTCTCTCTCTCTCCCTCTCTCCTCCCTCAACCCTGCAACCGGCACCCCTCTCCCTTCTCCTGAGCCCGCCTCCCTTCTCCCTCCCGAGCACACCTCCAGCTCCTGTGGGGGGTATAACCCCAGGTACCCACGACAATGGACATGGGCCACACCACCAGGGAAGGTCTAGCCCATAAGATCAAGGCCTACGGTGCTCGACTCTGGTCGGCGTGCACCGCAAGGCATTCTGAAGACATCTTGGCGATGAAGGAAGATCTGTTCGGATATTATAGATATCGTATTCCTTGTAAATACTTATTATATAACCGAATAGATCTAGATTTAAACCAACCTGTAACCCTACCCTCCAGACTATATAAGGCGGGTAGAGACTCCTCTCGAATTCATCTTATATTCAATATAATCCACCAAAGATACAGGACATAGGGTATTACGTCGATCAGACGGCCTGAATCTATCTAAATCGCTTGTCTCCGCGCTTGTGTCACCATCCGGCTCCTATTATGCGCACCTCCACCAATTCATCTACTATCGTGGGCATACCCCTCGGTAGACTGTCGACCAAATTTCGTTGACAGTGACGCGCCAGATAGGGGGTGTGCGTGCTAATTCCATGGCGAGCCAGATGGTCTGCTTCCCGAGGTCTATGATCCTTCCTGAGCCAGGTCAGACCTTCACGGTCGGATCTATGACCTATGTCATCGGCGCCGACGGCGTTGAGGAAATCATGGAGGCGTTGCAGAATCACCCTGCGCCGATCGTGCCAACATCTACAATGACATCTCCGATCTCGGTGCCTCACCGCTGGGTTAGGAGATCCATCAGCAATGTCGATCTGATCGCATCCATCGATCGGGTCACAGACCGCTTAGCGGAATGCCAGCTCCTCGTGGATTCAGTCTTAGATCAATTTAGAGCGAGCGACGAAGTTCCTGCACTCCAAAGGTCACCATGCCACTAATGCCGAG